TGTTCTCAAACGTTGTATTTCTAGTGAAAAGCATCACCTAACTCCTATAGGTTTTCTTGAGTAGTCTTTTTATTTTTTGGAGAACATTTTTTTTCTACATTTACGTTGCAATTCATATTCACATACCAGTGTTTCTTGGCTTAAAATTTTTTTGTACTTTGTACTCAACTTACTTTATTTTTACTTTAATTGTTAGTAAAAACACAGATAATGAAATAACCAGCCAGTGATTTTGCCAGAGGGTTGATTAAAAAGAAAAATAAAAAATCACAAGATGTTTTCCTAGGGGAAGAAAAAATAATCTGTTTAAAAATTTCTCATTAAACATAATTGGCATTTCTGGGCATGAGTGACACTAGGAAGTTTGAAAAAATGCCCATGCTAACAGGCTGGGGGACAGGAATTTGCTGTATTTGACAGGGTGTATATGAGAAGGATGCAGCCCTGCAAACTCGGCAGCGCAGCCTTTGCCAATGTGTCTAGACAGCCCATCTCTACGGGGGAGAGGGAAGCTTATTTCTTGGACCTGCTCCATCTGTGGCTGCTCCAATGAGACCAGACCACTTATGGTCTCCTTTATCCATGGAGACTTTCCATCCAAGGTTGCTCAGCCCTCGTTGCCTGGTGGCTGATGGTCGACGTGAACCAATTCAGGTGAGACATCGAACCTTTTGCTGGTTTTGAGGTACTCCTGTGTTAGGTGAGGATGTGGCTGGTGGGGCAGTGGATGTGATTCATTAGCTAGAGCCTTTAAAAAAGGCTTAAATTCTATTAAATTGTGCTAGAACAGCAGCATTTGTTTGCTAACCCTGCACCAGACCGAAAGCAGTGTTTTGTGGCCGAGATATCCCACATTTCTGTACAGGTCCTTTAAATTGTTTGATCCTCCAGGTTAGAGTATCTGACATTTATTTCAGACAGATTAAGGGCAGGAATAAGCAGATATTCTGTAATATATTCATCACCTGGAGGCAAAAATTCTTACTCTGTGTTAAGGATCGTCGTTTCCCACGTATCCCTTGTTTGCCTCAATTCACAAGAGCTCTGACAATTGTTATTCTGCCTCCTCTGCTGGGAGTTGTGCTTTTCAAACTGCGGTGAACTCCGTGGAAATACAGACGTTTCCATTTTTCAGCCTTTTGATTTAAAATTTCTAGATGATTGTTCGACCCTGGCAAGGAACCATTCAAAATACATTCCAAAATATTCATCATTCCTGCAGGCTAAGGAACATAAGATGTAGCAGTTTATTAGCTAATGTGAAATGCATTCGCCGTCCAGAAGAGGCGAAAGGATGGAGGTGGGTCTGAGCCTGATTTCCCTTTGCATCCCACAGAGCTGGGGTGTGGAGCAAGCTGGTCTCTCCCATCTGCCTTCCTGTTTGGCTGAATGTCCCTGTGTCCAGCAAAAATCCCCCAAAGATCCACAGTAGCCTTGTCCCACCTCCATGTCCCCTGGCCTTAGAAGAGCAGGTTTTCTCTGTGGACCTGGGAAGGAGAAGGTTGTTTTCAAATGGCCCCGCACGCTCTGATCCTTTTCCTCCCTTAAGCAATGCGGGATGTCAAGGTCCTTTAACCCCACCTGGTCAGATGCTCGGCCCTTGGAAAAGGCAGGTGGGCTCGATGCTGAGAGCTGGGCTCAAGTTCTGTTATTTCTGGATCGTGGATGCCGTCGTTCTTCCAGCTGTGATTAAGAGGGACCCAAAAAATGCATTAGCAGTCAAAAGCTGGATTTCTGAGCGAAGCTTTGCGGCGGCTCCAGTCCAGTTTGCTTGGTAGAGGCGATGGTGGTGGTGGTGGTCTGATCTCACTGAAACACATTTGTTCTTGGATGCTCATGAAAGGGGAGCTCAGCCTTTGCAGAGCTGGTTTCCATGTTCTCGCCATCGTTTGCGCTTCCCCTTCTCCTGGCCCGCGGCACCCTGTGGTCCCGGCACAGTCATTCCGTGCCATGCAGCTTTCAGTCCTGGATATTTCAACAGCAAACAGATGCAATATCCATTGAGAACAGTGGTCCTGCCTGCCGGTGATCCAGCTGGCGCTCGCGTCCCGCAGGTCGTCGTCAGTCTGTTTGTGTGGGTCCCACGTACCAAAAAAACACGTCCGAGTGAATTTCCAGATCCAGTCGGGAAGGCTTTTTAATACTGGCACTTCCCAGCAGCACAGTGGGCCTCCGTGGGGACCTGGGCAAGTGGAGATGTTCATGAAGCCGGTCAGCTTGAGTCAGTCTTTCCCGGGGCCGACGGGAGGTCGCTGGGGAACGTTTGCAGACTCTTGTGGTTGCCACAGTGCTTGGAAATGAGCCCACTGAAAGGCCCAAAATGCCAAGGGGTTCATCTGCAATGTATATATGGACTGAAAAAAAGTCCTTCCCAAAGCACCCCTTTTCTATCTTGGCATATCCCCCCCCCTTTTTTTTTTCTTGGTACTTGTCAACTTTTTGCAAAAATATCTAATTTTCCTTATCAGAAAGTTTGTCTAGGTGAAGTTCCTGAGGATTTTTTGCCACTTTTTCTAAGTACACAAGGAAATATAATAAAAGTGGTGTTGCCCAGAGTTCAGGTGGATGTGCAGTGGCAGGGGCATGCCAGGTCCCCACTTTGTGGCTTCTGGCTGGTGCATCCTTCTACCTCAGTGCTAACAAGGAGGTTTAACCTGCTGAATCTGTGACATCGGAAGAGGATGGAGGTGGTTCCTGTCTGTATTGGTCTCAGGGAGCATTCTGGGGGCTGGATAAGACTGAAATATGCCATCCCAAAGGGCTGGAGCAACCCGAGTTGCTCCCTAGCAACATCATCTTTGCTGTCTCCTAAGAACTCCTAAGGAATCCAGATCCACCCCACACTTGGTCCCTGCAGTGGGGGAGTCTCCCTAACGTTTTCTGTGCTTTGTTGTTAAAGTCTTGTCCCAGCAGCTTGTCATCAAAGGGCACATTGATCCTCAGGTCCTGGGGCATAGGTGACACCTGTTTGTGGTTCGTGTCCAGCTGTAGGTCTGGGAGTCACCTCTGCATGTAAAGAAAAGGGGACATCAGGAGAATCCAACAGGGAAGCAGGTGGAAATAATATGTGTGCCTTTTGCATAATGTGTATCCTCTGGAGCTCACTGCAGGGGGATATGATTGTGGAAAATAGATGAGTAACCTCTCTGTGCCTGATTGCAGTGATGGTTTGTTGCCATTGTCTTTGGGGCAGCTGGTGGTGTGTATCCAGGTGGACGTGGATACTGGCCTTCCTGGTGCATCAGTCTGCTCCTGCATGGGAAGTTTTAATTCCAGGGTCAAGCTTAAGAGCAGTGGTGACTCTGCAGAAGAACACTGAGCTGATGTGCTGGTTTGGATATATACATTAAATTTAAAGGGGGCAGCGTTGCACAGCTCAGCTTTTCTAAGCCTTGTAGAAGGGAAGGGAAAGGGTGCTGGAAAGGAGAGGAGAAAGATGTTTTCTGGAATGTACTAGGGCAGGGAGAGGGCCAAGAGCACTGAGAGGCGGCTTTGGAAATGAGAAGATACCAGTGGAGCAGGGCGGAGGTTAGGAAGTTTGATCTGGGCTGCATGAATGCCATTCCTGAGATGAAACATCAGGACACATGGCACAGGAAGGGGAGCTGATGGGAAGAGGACGTGGGGGTTGGAAGTCTTGCCCCTGACCTCGCAAAGCCATGAGTTCACACGTGTTCAGCCCTGCCAAACAGATCCAGGGTTTTAAGCAGGAATGAGGAAGGGGCTGTGAAGGCTGAGGGGCTCCAGCTCTCCGGGAAGGTGTGGTGGTCATACTGGCACCATCACAGCGAGTGGTTTGGGGTGTGATACCTCGGGGTGTGGTGCTGGGGTTTGGCTGTGTGATTGCATTTCTGCTCCTCTGTCACGGGTCCAGTGCTTTTGCGGTGTCGGGCTGATGTAACGAGGGGCTCGGGGGGAACAGAGCCCCCTTGGATCCTGTCCCCTCCCGAGCCTGGTAAATCCACGCCGCTGGATCGCCGCCACGGTCTGGTGGTTTGCTCTCTTTGTCAGTTACAAAGTGCAGTCTCACAGAACACGATTTGCCGCTGGCGGAGTTTTAAAATATGTGTTTGCTTTTGATTATGTATCTTTTTTTTTTTTTTTTTTTAAATTAATTTTCCGAGGATCAATGTGGTAATGCATATAAAAATTACAATATGTAAAACGAAGTATAAAAGCATACGAGGAATTCCAAACACATAACATACTGTGCCTTTGAGCTTATGAGATCCATACAGTGCTTATTGTATTATGGGAACACTCTGACCCCAAGACCCGGCGGAAAGGCTTGTTAGAAGAGCAGGACTAAGCCGTGTGCCTTATGAGCTGTAGGATGCCCAGAAGGAAAACCCTAGTGAATATAAAAGTAGAGCTGTTACAGCAGAACTCAGACTGGTCTGTGGGATCTAGGGGGACTTTCAGTGGCTTGGTACCAATTTCTGGAGAAGGATGTGTACTTGTGCCCCCACAAATGTTGTTCTTCCAGTAATTAACACTTAACATCATGTCTTTCCAGGGAGACTCTCTGGATTTCCAGTGGATCATGATTACTTTTTTTTTATTCCCCTGGGCATAATTTCTTCTGTCAGCTCCAGCAAGTGGTAACGCTGACGTGGTTAGGGAGGATGCACATCTCAGCTGCTGTAACTAACTGCCCATGTGCTCTACAGGTTGCCACCAGATGAGGGGCAGAGCACCAGAGCTGAAAGCACCCTGAAAAGGAGTTTGGGTTTACATTTGCCTTAGGATAGGGCTCTTGGCTGCTCACGCTGCCCTGTCTGTGTGTCAGGAGCAGGGCAGATGGGGGTTGCAGTGGGACCTGATCACTGCAGACCCACAAAAGCGCAGAGCAGAGCACAGGGAAAGGTCCCTGCAGTGTGCAGTAAGTCCAGGTGAAGGCTGTTTGCCTGCTGGAGACTCTCCACCAGGAAGGTGACAACCTCAGAACCTCATTCCTGGTGGGTGAGAGTCACTGGCTGGAGCTGTGCCTCGAATCCCACATGACAATCTCCCTTTTGGTCACGGTGCAGGCGGGAGGTCCCTCTGCTCGAGCGCTTGTCCTGCTGGAGGACAGCGAGGGTAACACTGTTGGCACTGTTGTGCAGGACCTCAGTGAGCTCCCCTGGTCTGGCAGGCAGAGCCAAGTGCAACAGGAGACCGTAGGCATGTTATCCATGCTATCCATGCAAAAGCTATTCACAGCTCTGTAATGATATGTAATTGTTTGTATGCGGTCAGCCAAAAATTACCCTGATAGGTTCCACATTGCAGACACTTCGGAGAGGAGCTGCCAGAGTCCCACGGGTAATGCTGAAAATACACACACTTTTCCATTTAATATTCAGACTCAGGTTTTGTATGAAAAATTCAGTATCCCCTTGCTGAAGCTTCATGCTCTTGCACAAAACAACTTATTATTTGTGTGACAAATTGAACCTAATTACGAGGTAATCACAAGCAAAGTCTTTTAAAAGAAATAAGGCGTCTGTTTCTTTATTATCGTATCTTTCTCTGTGTTCCTGGTGATCTTAACAGGACTGGAACTTTGGATACTTGAATTTTCTGTATAATTGAAATTATTTGAGCACTGAGATGGTGCAGAAAAAAACCCAAACAGCAAAGGTTAGGAAAAAAGCTCAGCCGGTGTTGCGTAATGAGAGGCAAATGATAGTTCAGAAATCTCTCTAGTCTGACCTGTAATCACAAATATAACCCTGCTGTTATCAGGGCTTGGTATTGCTGGTCACCAGGGCCAGCTTCAGAATGTGATTTAATAGGCATCTCCTACCTTAACACATTTAGTTTTCTTTTAAGTGTCATCTCTGTTTTGTATTTCCTGCATTTGTGATGGCTGCTGCAGGTACTGAGCAACTTGTCCGTGTAGCTTTTGTGTACCCTGTGGTTAGCCCTGATTTTCATTTGAAAATACTTTTGGTGCATGGAAATACGTATGAACTGGAGTTTGTTCTCTCCTGGGAGGCTTAAGAAAGATACTTCAGGCACGAAATATTATCCCTGTATTTCCCTGTGTCCTTCTTCTGTCCCTGCTCACATCTGGCAAAGACAACGGACCTGTCTCAGATTGGCTGGAGCAGGGCTTTGGCATCAGGTGGATTTTGTATGTCCCCATCCCTGCTTCCCACTCCCCTGCCTAGTGCCTTGGTTTAGCTTTGATTAAACCTTTTGTGTCTGGGGGTTTTTTTCTGATTTTTTTACGATGCAAGTTGACAAAGCTGCCCTGCACCCAAAGAGTTGCAGTGTTTTGGAGCATTGCAGTGAATCGAAAGCAAAGCAGAGTCTGCAAAGGGCTGTAACTGTTTGGAGGTCTGATGTTGGGGAGAGAAGTCTGCCCGGAGCCTGGGGTGACCCGTGGAAATACTTCCACTCAAACTTCATAAAACTTAACTTTAAACCCAATAAAAACCTCTGTTCCTTTCCTTTCTGTTATCCCATTTCCTTTCTTTCTCTACCACTCTGAATAAAACTTCCTTGTTTTTTGGCTTGCAGTATTTTTTTTATTTTAAAAGAGGTTTTACTTACTACCTTTATAGATTATTATTCTTTTTTGCTGTGAAATAATTTCTCTTGTTTTTTCTTAGATCTGTGCTCAAACTTTAGTGGTAACCTCTTATTTTGAAGGCTGTGATTAAAGTGTGATTCCTTATTTTCTTCCTGGAATCCTTTCTCAGTTTACAGTTTATATAACTGATGTGACAAATCTTTCCTGCCTTACCGTATATGACACTGTGGTTAAATGTCTCCGGCCCTCACTTAATTAAATCCAATTATTTACTTTCAATTGGGATCCAATTAATGTACTGCAGTAGCTGGTTCTGGGCTTAATGGAACCGGTCAAAACTTTTCAAAACTGCCCACACAATGTAAATCCCATCTGGAAATTAGTTTTTGTTCTGACCTGGAATGAAAGCAAGTATGCACAAGCATTCCTGCAAACTGGAAATCCAAAATATGTTGCGGTTGCAAGTATTGGTGCAAAAAACACCAGTCCTGTAACTTGTACATAGGCATTTAGTTCTCAACTCTGTTTTGTTTATAGTGTGTTGTATTTTCAGTGTGGCATCCCAAGAGGAGCTGTCTGATGGTGCCCCAGTGATAGTCATAGGCACTGGGACAGTAAGGAGCATAGATTGGAGTGTAGGCAAGTGGATCTGCCTCGCTGCAGGAGGAGAAAAGAATAGGATATTTCCTAATATATCTTTTAGGAGAACTTAAAAATGCTTCAGTGCACTTGTGTAGGACACCAGGATTTGCTTGTTATGGATGAATGTAGAGGTAGTGCAGGAAAACACAAATGCAGAAACAGGAAACAAAGTCCCCCAGCCCAGCATGAAAGGTTGGAATTTTGAAATGAAATTCCCGGATTTTCCAGCATTGGGTTCCTGAGAGGAGAGCGTGCATTTCGATCTCTCTGGGGGACACATTTGCGAGCAGCTTTTGAGAACCCTGTTTGTAATAAAATTTTTGTGATTAAAAGAATGTTGATGAAAGACTTCTGACCTATCTAAAAACCTTTAGAGCTGTTTTCCTCTCCGTTTCTGCTGACTCCAGTCACTAGCGCTGTCAACAGTGTTTAGGAATACCATTATTCAGTGTTCAGTGTTGTTTCCTGATAAAGAAATAATGTCAGGGGAAAAAAAAAATCCCCTGCTGACATGTTGAAGGCAGGCGGTGTGTGCTGTGAGCAAGGTGACATTTGCAGGCATCTGGGGTTTAGGTGTCTGCAGTCCCTCGTTAGCAGTTTGTAATCAGCATATGGCATGTCTGCATGGCAAGATGGAAGGAGTTATCAGCCCAGCCATGCTTTGGGCTAATACTATTATGTTTTTTCCCCTGCTACCCAAGTCACTCCTGTAGACATTTGGATCTAGCTGTGTTGTGCTGTTGCAGAGGAGGTGCTGTGGAAGGAGAACCCAAGAATGCCAACCCCCCTGTCACAGGTTGTGCTTCACTCTCAGTCCCCTCCATCCATCTATGTCCTGGAAAAAGGGGGTGACTCACATCCCTGCTCCGTGCCAGCCGCTGCTGGAGGTGTGTTAGTGACCCGACCGTGAGTCACTGCAGCACGGACACTGCCTTTCCTTGGACAACTTTCCACTCCTTGGCCCTGCTATTTTTGGGCCCGGCAGTTACGAGGTGAGCTGTGAATCACCGGCGTCTCGCTTTACGCCGGGAGGAAACCAGGCAAATTGTGTTAACGTGCTTGGCAGGAGGAATTCTTGTTCTCCAGTGTTTTACAGACTTTGGCCCTTCTTCTTGCTCCCCAGAGTGATGTGCTCACCCTTCCTCATGTGTAGCTGTCACGCAGGATTGAGCAACGGCCAGACGGCCTCGGGCTCGGGTTCCCTCCAGCCGGGTGTAGTTTTCTGGGCAGAAACTGATGCTTCAGAGGCCTGGAGGGGATTCCCAAGGGGTCCCAAAGGCCTTTATTGATTTGTTCATACGGTTCTCATAGGCAGGGTTTAGATTAGAAAATAGTATTAAATGGATAACTCTGGAGGAGGCCAGACACCCATGTTGACATTGGCCTCTACGGCAGCTGGTCTTGCGATGTTTGTGCCATTCTGGGGGATGTTGGTGCCCTGAGGCTTGTTCTTCACTGTCTGGTGTGTTGAGAGGTGCACAGCAGCACAACTATGTCAGAGCTCTCCAGCAGAACTGGGGGAAATAGCTGACCCTTTTTGTGAAGGGTTTGATGGTGAGTCAAGAGAGGGACATGTGGGACTTTCTTCCTTCTTTATAAGGGACGGACCTAGTGACAGCATTACCCCCTGAGCAGGTAGCAGTGTGTGCAGGGTGTTCTGCACAAGCAGTGGTTAAATTCCATCCCTCTGCTTCTCCGCTTTGCTTCCCACCACCTAAGCAGGATAGATTCACCTGTAGCCTTGTTTTAATTCCCTGGCATTCCTACACATGTTTGTCTTACACATTCCTGCCTCTGCCAGTCCCTTCCCAGTTCAGCTTTGGGATTCAACGTGCCTGTTAAAAACTGGTCTCCAAATGCTTCCTCTCAGATACAAGAGAACCAAGGGCATATTTTTGCACCCAGGAATCCCTGGGCTGGAAAGGAGTCTGCTGGGGATTGTCAGGCTGTTGGAGGAGGACTGGGAATGGAGGCACTGTAAACCTGCAGGAATTGGAAAAACCTACTTTAATTTAAGAGGAATGTCCTTTTGTTCCCAAATGGATGGGCCTTGCTCCAGAGGCATTCAGGTGCAGTAACTGGTACCAGATGGGCTGTGAAAAGCAACACAAACAGGTAGTGAGGACAACAGCCATAGACTTCAATTTCCTTGTCAGCTTCTCCCTGTACCTTACATACCCCCTGGAGAACAGGAGGATGAGGGGACCTGTCATATCTGTATATGGCAAAAGGAATGACTGTCGAGAGGATGTTCTGCCACTGTATATAGCAGGTCAAGCCCTTTGACTCTCAGTGGTGAGGCTGACTGTCATCTGGGCCAAGGTGCGTAGTAATGAATTTAAAATATAATTAACTCACATGTGCATTTTTATAGATACAGTGCTCAGTGTATTTTAATGTATGCTGACAGGAATGTTGCCTCAGATCCCCCCAGGTGTAGCTGCTGCTCTGCCACGCAGGAGAGTGGGACCACACTCACATTGTCCCGCTGTGCTTGGGGGAATTGAAGGCTGGGGCTGCAGGAGCATGGGAAGCCTTGATGTTTCTGGAGGGATTCCACACATACTGGAGCACTTGAAGAGGGATGAGTACAAGGCAATGACATGCCAGTCCTGCAGCCTGCACGGGACTGTTTTATGGCTGCAGCAGTGGCCTCCTGCCTTCCCAGGCTGGTGCCTTGCTCTCCACTTCCTTCAGTGTGGCATCCCACAGTAACTGAAGTGTTTGCTGGGCTGTGACTGCTGTGATGAGTGAGCATACTCTGGTACAGGACATGTTGCTCTGCAGCAGCCCTGGAAAAAGGAGAGATGGTGCAGAGCAGATATTTGCTAAGAAAAGCCATTTCATAGCTATGTCAGCTCTGTTGTTGCTCCAGTGACCGTCGGCACAGACAGCAGTGATAAGTGTGACTCCAGATGCATTGATTTATTGCTGAGTAAATGCAAACCAGGTATAGAACAATACATGCTCTTATGGGACACACAGTTTGTTGCTCAACACCTTGCTGGGCTGGGCCAGGCACAGAGGATGCTGGAGAGGGCACAACTGTTCCAAACTCAGCAGTATGGGAATGTGTGCTTATGCTCAGTCTCTCTCTTACTGGGTTTTTGCTTCCCAATTGCAATGCTATCCCTGCCTATCTGACTGTATTTCTATGTCCTTGGCTTGCCAGCATACAAGTGAAACTGGCTTTTGTCCTTGTCTCACGTTCAGGCCCGTATCAGTCACGCTTCATTTCCACTGTCTGACACCTCTTTGTTCACAGCTCCCCCGTTTCTGCCCGAAATGACACCTCCCGGTCTGGATGTGCAGAGGATAAGAGAATTTAAACCAAACAGAGCTGCAGAGGACAGCATTACCTTGGCTATAGTCAAACCTAGAGTAAAACCATTTCCTTGTGCTTTCCTTTTGCAGAGACAGGCTCACTTTCTGACAGTCAGTAAGAGCTGATGCAGGACTTGTGCTACCCCAGAGATCTGTATTATATCTCAATCAGGGCAATCCTTGGAAATTTGAAGCCAAGAGAACAGGGCTTCATGATTCTTCACAGTCAGAAAAGGTTTCCAGGACTGTCAGGAATAGGGAGATGCATTTTGGACTTTTTTTGTTTCTTTAATTTGAAGATAAGGAAGCTGAGGAATGGGGTAACTTGAGAGAGCTGGTACAAGTCTTAATGCAGTTGAGTTGGAAAATAAATGCTTGGGGTCAGTGGACTTTCCACCTCCTATTTAAATAGAGGCTAACACAATGTGGTTAATGTGTGGTGTTGAAATTGTGCAAGCCCCTTTCCATCTTGAAACCATTGAGATTATCCACCCCATGGCTGTGGGCTCTTGCCTTTTTAGCATTTCATGTCTCCAATCATCTCTCCTAGATGATCAGCTGAACTCAGAAGAGAAGAAGAAGAGAAAGCAGAGAAGGAACAGGACTACCTTCAACAGCAGCCAGCTGCAGGCATTAGAGAGAGTCTTTGAGAGGACACACTACCCCGATGCCTTTGTACGGGAAGACCTTGCACGCAGAGTCAACCTCACTGAAGCCAGAGTTCAGGTAATCGCCTTGTATCCAGGCACACCTCACCTGGGGGATCATCATCATTATTCCAGTAAGGCAGCAAAAATCCTTGAGGCCGGTGGGGCACACAAGGGTCACCAAGCTTCTGGGTCCTGCTGTATTGCAGCCCCAGGTGTGACATGCCTTGAGGAGGACTGGGAAGCCTGCTGTGCTGCCACAAGTGCCACCTGCCCAGTCACACGTGTTCATGTGGCTCTCTCAAGGCCAAGATGGTGAATGCTCAGGCTGCTCCCGTTATCTTGAGCTGTTCAGCCCTTAGCTTGCAAGCCTGTACCTTTGGAAGGTCAGAGCAGAACATAGTGTGTTGTACGGCACTCCCAGGCCTTGCTGCCGTCAGCACAAGGCAGACCTGGTCCCACAGGGACCTCACTGAGCCAGTCCCTCGTGTGAGGGCTTTATGAGGATTGTGTTGTCCCTGGAGTTCCCAGGGACAGGCACGCCAAAGCAGCCAGCTTTTACAGAGTCCCGAGGGCACAGGTGGTGTGGGGAAGGAGCGTGTCACAGCAGAGCTGGTTGTGATGGCTGGTGGGTCTGTGTGCTTCCCGCCCCAGGTGTGGTTCCAGAACCGGAGAGCCAAGTTCCGCCGGAACGAGAGGGCGATGCTGGCCAGCAAGAATGCCTCTCTGCTCAAATCCTACTCAGGGGACGTGACCGCCGTGGAGCAGCCCATAGTACCTCGCCCAGCTCCGAGACCCACTGATTATCTCTCCTGGGGCACCGCCTCGCCTTACAGGTGAGTGAACAACCCCGCTGGGCTGGCCGGTTTTTGGCGTAGTATAGAGCAGCCTGAGAGTGGCCCCCAGACAGCTCTCATGGGCTGTTTATATTCACGTGGAAGAACTGGAGGGTACAGCAGTTTGACCACCCCACTGGTTTTCCTTACCTGTTCCCGTCCCACCCCATCTCACTGCCAGGTTTGCAAGGTGGGCTCAGCTCAGCATCATCGTGGCTTTCTGACAGCTGCTTTTCTGGTGGTCCCTTTCTCTGCAGCTCAGGAAGTTTCAAAAGAGGATCAGGTAGAGATACATAGAAACAGAAGGGGTTGCACTTGCTTCCCACGTGCATCCAGTTTAAAGCAATGAAGAAACCTTTCCATGGGGCACAGATCCGGGGGAGGTGAGGGCAGAGCACTTGGGGAGGCTCAGCCACACACAGTGGCCAGAAGAGGGAGTTCTGCGGCTGTCCCGTGGCAGTCACTGGTTGGGATGCAAGGAAGGGCTGGAAACTCCTTGCATGTTGCTCCCATTCCTTCCCTCAGTGTGAGCAGTTTCTTTCTAGTTGCCTGAGCACAAGTGTGTGTATGAACGTTGTGCTGTGCTGTGGTTTGCCCGCAGCAAGGACCAGGTGACAGACTGGTGTTCAGTGCCCATCTCCTGTGGTCAGTGCTGCTTAAGGGGTGACAGGACAGAAGCGTAGATGTGGCAACCCCAGTCTCAAAGGATCTGGGATGTCCATGCACATCACAGGCCCCCCTGTCCTCCTTCGTGCCATTCACAGCGCAGCAGGAACTGGGTGTGGACGTAAGATCCACAGGATGTGTTGGTTTGTGGGGAGCCAGCTGGCTCACAGGCAGTTAAAAATGAGGTCGGTGGGTGTTTTTTAGCACAGTGCCTTCATTGTCGGTAAGGACCTTGAAGCATTTGGCTGGGTTTCTTCCTGTTCCTCTGGCCTGGTCACAGCCACCCTCCTGCTGGCTTCCAGGAGCCATGCCATGCACTGGACCTCTCTTGCTCGGTCATCTTGACCCCCTTTTTGCTCCCAAACATTGTTTGCACAGTAAGGCCTGTGAACACGTAGCCTTCCTGATAGTTTGTTTGCTTCAGTGCCATGGGGTCCTCCCCATCCATCCTGTAGCTCCAGAAGGACAAGTCAGACACTGAAAAGGATGCATTTGGCAGCATAGTTTGGTCTTAGAGATAGCCCTTATCCTTTGGATTTTATCCAAGGACTGCTGTCTGGCAAACCCCTCCTTTTGTGGTTAAGGCTTTCTGTGAAGTACTACGTAGTGTAGCACCCTAGGGAAGCATCTAGATGGTGAGATCAGGGAAGAGAAGCAAGTTCCTTCCCCACCCTGCTGAGACTGTGCTGGTCACAGTGCCACATCCCTGCTGAATACTCATGACTTATTTCTACCTCTCACATTTTTAAAGTAGATCGACCCTCCCAAGATGTCTACACAGAGGGCTTCATAAGGGCTTCTAGGAGAAGACCCTAAAAAGTTGGCTTCCAGGGGTACACTGAGAAGGGCTGTGTGGGGCCACTCTGGGCAATGAGAAGCCCAAGGTGCCTGGGATATGAGAACAAGGAGAGCAAGGCAGGAGGGAAAGTCTTAGGGTTGAGTTTTTTCCCCCCTGAGGTCCAGCCCAGGCTATGCCTCTCCACAGTGCAGAGACACATCCTCACTGTTCTGATATCTTCCCCTTGTCTTAAGCCAGTATGTTTCAGCAGAGATATGTGCAGCTTACAGTTGTCACCACATGTCCAACTAGGATGGACTGTCACCCTCCCACTGCCCAGCATTGGCAGAGGAGCAGAGCAGCTGATTTCTGCAGTGTGAAGCGGTCAGGACTCTCAGGCACTCCATGCTCCTCAGGCTTTCTGTTCCTACTCATCATCTCTTAGCAATAGCATTCATCTTAAAGGGCACCCGGGCCGAGTTGTCACAGCCTCATTAAAGCTTTGAACTGAGTAAGGTTATTAAACTTCTGGACACTTGGTGAAATAATATTGAAACACTCCAGCCATGTGGAGTGTTTGCATGGCCCTCTGCCCCCTCCCCATCTCCCTGGACCAGCCCCTGATTTACGGCTACTCCAGGAGGGGGCTGAGAGCAGGGCCCGGAGCTGCGCCGCCGGTGCGGGTTTTGCCCTTAGATCTGGGGAAAGTTTTCAATCAGCGTGTTTATTCTCCAAATACACTCAGCCACAGGTCAACCAAAGCTATTTGCAGATCTGTGTCACATAGACAGCCAAGTAGATACTATTATTTTTTTGAAGTTGAAATGTTTTGCTTAGGCATTTTTTAGCATAGGTTCCTAAGAAAACAAGACTTGCAGTCGCGCTGTCAGCCCGCACTTCCCACTCCAACAACCTTTGACTCCACGGGCCATTGAAAACCATATTTGAAAGGAGGATTTTAGGACTCAGGAACATGATGTTCCTCTGTGTTTCATGAAAGCAGACAGCTGAGTGGAGGAAGGAGAGTCTTATCTCTGCCTGAATGGGGCAGAGGAAGGGGCCAAAAGGGTAAATTCAGACCTTATTAGACCCTGAAGAGTCTCTGGAGCAACCCTCAAACTATTCTGATGTTTGGAGACAGTACCTTCTTGGGTACTGCTCCTGGTAGAATAACTTGCTGAAAGAGGGTGTTTCTGAAGATTTTTGGTTTAGCAGAGGTTTCACTTGGTACCAGTAATTTCCCCCATACCTCTGGGGACTTGGGAGCCAGAGACTCATGGGAGTTTCAGTCCAGACCTGAGCTTACCTCCAGCAGAGCATTTGTGGTTTCCTCCTGAACGCACTGTCTGTGTTAAATGGGCATCTCTAGTTCGTGTGGTGATGGTCAACTGGTTTTGATCTGTGGATACATGTATAGGAAATGCAGCAGGTCAGACAGTGTGCTGGTTTGGAGGAGGAGGGGGGTTGCTTTTCGCAGAAATCCCTGGGACACATGGGTTAAACAAGTTTTCAAGTAGTCTGGAAAACAGATTTGCAGGTTTTTTTGTAGGATAAGAAAAGAGTCAGAGGTTTTGGTTTAGCCTCTGCTGTCAGAAGTGCTGGTTTTCATGAATAAAGTCATTATTTGAAGGGAGAAAAAGTGTTTCATGGTTGGATTTTTTTCCCTTAACCTTTAGGGCATCCTCTTTATGATCAGCTGAAGGTTTGAGGGGAAAAAAAAATGTGGAAATTTTCATTCCAAAAGGCTGAAACCAGAAAACATCAGAATTGTTGAAATGGGTTTTTCCCAGAGTGTTTCTTTAATGTAACATGTGTTTCAGAAGTGACGTGATTTCACAACCAATAAAACCAAAAATTGCTCTCATCAAAAAGGCACTGCTTCCAGTGGGAATACTTTTAAGGACAATGGTCTAACTGGCAGGCTGACCTCATTGTAAACCTTTTTTGTAGGGGGGTTAGAAAATAGGAAGTGGAAATTTTCCTGTTGACTTCAAGCGGCTTTGGGGCCGTCTGTCCCTGGGTGAGTGAACTGCAGCGGAAAGATTTACAGGGGTGTCAAATAAAGAGGAGTGGTAATTCCCTGCTGGCATCAGAAATTCATCCCACAGGTGTGGAAATCCCAGGGTTTGAGGCCACGTCTGATGTGGTGTTTCTGTTTCCATCCCACAGTGCCATGGCCACCTACTCCGCCACGTGTACCAACGCCAGCCCGGCGCAGGGCATGAACATGGCCAACAGTATTGCCAACCTGAGACTGAAGGCAAAGGAATATAGTTTACAGAGGAATCAGGTGCCCACAGTCAATTAACGACTGGAGGCAGCTGCCTTGCAGAAGGAGAAAATGCAACAGCGCCCGTCCTGCTTCGCAACTTGTCTGTGCTGAACTAAAAAAAACAAAAAAAAAAAGAAAAAGAAAAAAAAAAAACATAAAAAGAAAAGAAAATAAGAAAAAAAAAGAAGAAGAAGAAGAAAAACAGCCAACCCTCGCCCAGAACTGAACATGGGGAGCAAACTGAACCGCTCGTGAGTGACAAGGTTCCTCCTTCCTTTTGGGATAATGCCACCATTTTTTTTTTTCTTGTTATTGTTGGGTTTATTGCTTCTGCTCAATATACTACGAGCTTCTTCAGTAAAGGACAGTCTCACCCTTGTTGGTTTCCATTTTTGTATGGGACTGCAAAAAGAAACCTCTGCCAGTCTCAGCCCAGGGACAAGTCCCACCACCACCGTGCTGAGATGCAAAGCTTGCTCCTCTCCCTGCTGCCCCAGCTCAACCGTGGAGAAGTTGCTTGGTCACCGCTTTCCATTGCATCCACCTGGCCCTCATCCCTCCATCCCTTGTACCACAGAGGCAGCACCATTAGTGATAGTCTGTGAGAAGCCTGTTAGTGCAACGAGATGGATTCATCCTGTCTGGGTTGCCTGGACCACTCCAAGGTGTGAGGAAGACCTCCTTGGGCTTCAGAGCACTTCGTTGCTTTGCTGGGTATTGCCAGCACTGCTGCCTCAAAAAGCCAAAGAGAGAAAAGCCAACGTGGGTGTGTGAACAGGGGGAGGGCAGCGGAGGGATCGCTCTGTAGTGCCAAGAATAGGACTGTTAGGACACTCCTTTCTATGCCTTACAGTTTGTGCCACAGGGAAAGGCGTTGTCCGGATGCATTTGTTTTATATATACTGTATATATTTATATATATAAGATAATACATGCAAGCTTGGTTGGTGTTTTTTATTAAACGAAATAAAATCCATTGAAAATGTTTGGGATGTTTGTGCTGCATCCAGGTCCCTGGAGCCAGGCATTGAAATTCCAGCCACAGCCTCTCTCCCCCTTGTCAGAGCTCTGCCCGGCAGCCTTGGGCAGCGCTGGAAGTGGCAGCTCACGTCCTCCCATGACAACCCCACAGAAGTGGTGCTGGAGGGAGCCACACTGCTTTGCAGATTTTCCCCACAGGCATTTGCAGCTTCCTAGAATACAACAAGGATCTCCTCTCCAATCAGACGGGTTCACGTGGTTCCTGAGAGCACAGAAGGACATCCCTATGGAAAGTCTCTGCCGGCCCCTCTGACGACAGGTGACGTCTCAGCATCCCACCAAAGACCTTATCACCCCCCACTTCCCATAACACTGCCCAGTGAGGCTTGTCCTGTAGCCTTAACCACTCTCCTTTGCTCTCCCTGCCTGCTGTCCTCCCTCTGGGCTCTAATTAGGACCTAATTTTTTTCTCTCAATGAGGAGTAGAGGAGATGCAGGACAAAAGAGGTTTCTTCCATACAAACATCCTGAGGAAACTAGGATCTTTTATGTTGCTGGTGGTGTCTGCCTCTTTGAGGGAGGCAGGGGGCTTATTTATGACCTATAGCACTTGTGTCCAAACTTTGCCATGGAATAGTCTGACTGAAAGTAGAAGAGCTACTCTGTGGTCCAGACTGGACCGTAAGGGAAGGAGAAGGAAACTCAGTTATGAGAGAGAGTTCTGGTACAGGGGCTTAGGTCTCCACCCTGGTTTGCTGCAGACATGCTGGGCATATGTAGATGTCTGACAGTGGGCTTTGATAGACTAAAACATCATGTTCAGGAAATGAGAAAGAAATCTCTTCAAAGTGAAGGTGAAAATTAAACTGGCAGAAGATGAATGGAAATCCAGCCAGAGTATTTGAGCTAACACTAGGAAAAAAGCCCCAAATCCAAACTTGAGTAAGTTGTGCCTGTGATTGTATGTGTTGCTGCTGGAATTTTTTTTTTCTCCCTGTATGGGTATTTTTGAGGGGAGAAAAAAAGGAAGTTAAATTGTGATCAGGACAAAAAGCTGAAAGTCACAACCAGAACATCAGCAGGGACAGAGAGGCTGGGCAAGCACTGCATTTTAAGAAATCCATCATGTTCTATTTGATCCCTTTTTTTGGTTTTCTGCAGTCTGGAGAACCTAACATCTCTAAATATTTCTATCATGAGTAGTGTGGTTCCAGCTCCTAGAGCCAAGTGATCATGTTGAAAATCTCAGCCTGCACTTAGAAACTCACTCCTGATTGCTGTGCCTACACAAACAGAGGAACTATTAAAGAACATGTCCTGCATAAGCAGAAAGGACACAGTGCCTTGCAATGTTACTCAGAGGTTGACCTGGTTGTTGAGTGCCTTAAACTGGTGCTCTCCCCTCTCCTTGCCTTGCTGCCCTTCTCCACAATCCACCGACATCCCAGCAGTGACAGTGGCCTGGATGAGCTCCCCTGGCCTTCCCCAAGTGTTCACCCTGGAAGCTCTTTCCTTCAGCGAGTTTCAGCTCTTTCCTTCAGTGTCTTGGTGGCCTTTTGGCTTTCCCCTTGTCTTTGCCCACCTTTTCTGCAGTAGGAAAATCACCTTGAGCAGCTTTTTTTTTTGTTGCCTGTATACAGACACCTCTTTCTGAAGTTAGCACGGAGAGAGTTCAGAGAGCATGAAGCTCCTGGTACCCCATCACCCATCCATGGACCAAGACACCCATCCCCACACTGTGATGTTCACATGAGGGGGCCACATAAACATCTGTGCAAACCCACCTTCAGCCTCCTCACTGTATTTGTGTGAGGAATGGAATTGTCTGGCACAAGCTGCTCCTGTGGGAAGGTTGTGCAAGCTTTTGACTTCCAGTTTGAGTTGGGTCTTGCCTCGTTTCGGGCTGGTTGGTCAGGGATGTCCTCAGGTGAACTGGGCTGTTCTCAGTTCAGATGAGAGCTTTTACATCACCTTTGGGCTGGGTGATGGGTGACCCAATAATTAGGTTTTTTACATGGATTTACTAAACAGAGTCCAGCCAGATGAAGGGGGAGGTTTTGGTGTTTGTTTTTTAATTGCTGGTGATCTCAGCCAACAGGCAGCGTCTTGTTGTCTATCAAGCCAAAGCAAAATTTTATTATTGTGTATGTTTAATCTGTATTTTATTAAAACATGTAAATACATGTGCAAATCAAGGGCCTTATCCTCAAAGCATGGAGTTCTCCAGGGTTTTAGTAGACTTTTGGTTGCAGCTCTAGGAGGTTGCCATGGTTACCACAGTTATCACTAGTTTTGGGTACCATTCGGGGAGAAAACGGTCTTGAGACACATTTCTCTCACCAGCTCTGTACAAATGCTGTTTTCTCAGGCTCCCCCTTTCTCAATAGGTGGCTGATTCTCTCTAAGTGGGATTTTTGAGCATGACAGGGATGGATGATTGATGAGGCTGTTGGAGCTTGACGCGTGAAGCCACGGGATTCCCAGATGGAAGTGTATCCTGTAAATTATCTCTTGCTTTGTGATGTAAAATGTACAGTGTTTACACTAGAATAGAAATTATCATTTTCAATAAAAGGGGGAAAAGACTCCCCAGTCCTTTCTATAAGCTGCCACATCTGTGTCCTGTGTTGCTGCCCTGAGGTGTCCTACAGTGTTCACTGGGGTTGGGAATATGCAGGAGCTTTGTGTGGGGAAACGGGGGGACTGGGGCTGCCTGCCCCAGGCAGCAAATGAGAGGAAAAGGATTGAGTCCCTTCTGTGCAGGGAGCACTCAGGGGTGGGCTCATTAGGGAAATTCCTCCACTGCAAAGCAAGGGAGGTGGTCAGAAGGAGCTCAGAGGGTAATGAGGGCTAATTAACGCAGGCTATTAAAGCAGGGATGGGGCAAGTGCTGGTGGTGAGGTTTTTTTACCTGAAGACACTAAGCTGGGCTGGAGCTGGTGAGCTGTGCTTTGGTACTTGGGTCTCTGCTGGGAGCTGCAGTTGGGTGGGGGAAGGATGCTGGGTGTCTGGGGCTGGTGGGCTTCTGTGACTTCCCTTCTTGGTCACTAAGTGATTCATTTGCATTTCAGCCAAATGTTGGGAATCAGGAGTGTATCTGGGCTGGCCTCCTGTTTCCCTGCTGATCTGGCTTCTGACCCTCCATGGGCAGTCAAATTTCAGCAGCCCAGTCCACAGAGAGACCCCCTTAAGAGGAGATGGGTATCTCTGCAAAGCCCTCAGCAGCGAGCCAAGCTTGCACTCCTTGCAAAGCTGATCATTCACTCTGCTGAAGCTGAAATAATAATAATATCGCTCACTTACTATTTCTTGGTTGCCAAAGTAAGTAGGCTTGTAAACAGCATCGCTTCCAAGCTGATTTTGAGACTGGAGTGGCTTGGACTGAGTTGAAACAAGCCTTGGATGTCCATCCAGACCTCCAGCTGGCTCACCTGAGCTCCCTTTGGGTAGGTGTCCATCTCCCCACCTGGCACTGCTGTGCTGTAGCTCCTCACCTGATGGCTCCAGCTCTCAGTTGGGCTTGGATTTTCCAGCAGGACCAATAAAAACCATGGCAGAAGCAGGGTTTGGTGGGCTCCCCACACGCAGCTGCTGCAGGATCTCCTGAACATGCATTACACATGTGTAGTATTCCCATCACAGAAGGAGATACCTAATTCACTTGGGCTTCTTTACAGGAAAGTCCTATCTCCTGCTTACAGCATGAGTGACAAGGAAAGCCCCTGGGTGGTTCTATGCCCAGGGGTTTACCCATGGGGGCTTTACTGTTCACCTTTCCCCACTTCTCCCCCTCCAGAGAGATCCCAGGTGAGCAGGAACAGCTGCCCAGTGGCTTGGTTGGGTCTCTGCAGCCTCAGTTTGAGGCTTAGCACTGCTCTTGGGCTCACCACCTTCTCTCTTGTGGCTTCCCCACCAGTGCTTTTTCTGCCCTTGGCTGCCTAATACACTTTTTCCTGCCTCTCAGTGAAGTGTGGCTCAAGTCAGGTGTTTTGTGTGTTTCTGCCTGAGGAAATAACATGAAGCAGCAAAATTCAGGAGAACAGGAGTGGGGAAACCCCAGTTCCTTTCACAAGCCAGCAGCACCTGTGTTTCCTACCAGCAGGTGGTTGGCACGTGCAGTGTGCGCTCGAGGGTGTTCAGAAATTGGGTCTAACAAAAAAAAGTCTCTTTCTCTAAGGAAAGGCAGGCCAGCAGTTTCTTTTTGAGGGCTGGAGAGGACCATGTGCTATGGCCAAACCTCCCTCCATACCCCTGATGTCTGCTTTTGGTCAGGAGGGTGTCTCTGAGGCTGCTGGGATTGTCCCAATTGGGGAACCCTGCCAAGGTTGTCACGTCATCCAAGAGCCAGGTGTTGGTTTTAAAATGAAGTTGAAAGGTAAGGGACTGTCCCCTCTTAAGATGGGGTTAGGAAATGGTGGGGCTGTGCCCTGCGCTCTCCTGCAGCCTCCCAGTTCACATGGTGGAGTCCTGAGGGTGATGCTGGGATAGAGCCTCAGGGTCTCCAGCTCTAAAGATAAAGCTGAAATGGCTTTGGTGGGGCAGGGGGATCAACATCTCCATGTCATGGCAGGGAAAGGTGCTGTGGGAGTTAACAGCAGGCTGAAGGGTGACAAATGGCAATCAGCATCTTATAATGTCTCATCCTCTTTGTCTTTTTTAATAACTCTCAAGATCAGAGTTACTCTTTCCAGCATCTTGGCCAAATTTTGCTCTCTGTCTAGCTGGAGTCCCTCAGCAGTCTCGGACAGAGGCTGTTTTCCTTTGCTTCCTGCCTCTGCCTGTCAGAGCAATGCCAGATGTTGTCTCACAGCTGCTCTTTTCCAGCCCAGAGGTGGTTTCAGAGTGGGGCCAGGTGGAGCACTCCTTGTAAATGGGAGGGTA